AAATATTATACTCTAAAAAATAAAATAAACAAGGCATATAATATTTATTACTATATATTTTGTTGAAAATGTATGATTAGTTGACTTCTGTCGCTAACAATTTGACAATCTCATACAATAGATTCTAGACTCCGCTCTATTTCACTGCATAACGCCCCATGATTCCCATAAGATATGTAGATTATATTAATACTTACAATTCCAATATGTAGATATTAAGCCTTATAATATAATAACGAAAAATGCAGTCTAGTTACGGAACCATTTCGTCAAAATATATAACCCTTAGATCATCATGTAACCGTCAAAGATAGTTGATCTATAGATAGTTGATCTAATGGTTACAAACCTCGACAGAATGTTTCCGTAAGGGAACCGTAGAATCTATTATTGCTTTTGGTCTAAAAAGAAAAATGTAATATGAACACATAAATATGCCAAATGTTTGTCCTTAATTATGAAGGACTTACCTTAATAATCTCAAAACCGGAGATAATGAAAATCTCCATCGTCAAGTGAATCCTCTCTAGATTTGTAATCATCGATTTTTCCAAGAGGACAAACAATTACTATAAAAGATGCTTTTACATTCTTAAATTCAAATTGACAATTCTTTTCCTTGTCCCTTTTCAATTATTAAGATACAAGATTATTAATATACTAATAATAAAATAAAATAACGCAGCGACATGGCTAATAAAGCTTTTTAGCTCTTTTCACTCTCTCTCTCTATATATAATTCTTGGTAAAAAAAAAAATATGACAAATGTTTTGATTTTTTCATTCTTTTTCTGGTAGATTTTGGATTCATCAAATTCAATTTTGCTGTAGAGCAATCGTATGACTCGGTTTATGGAGTTATCCGCAGTTATTCACAAATAATGTATTGACATGTGTCCTGCAACAAATACACTTTATTTGGACATGTGTCAATACATTAAGTAATCGACGACACCATAAAAAGACCATCCGATCGCTCCATAAAACTTTTGTCATCCAGTAATTGTATTTTTCTTTATCTTATTGCATGACAGTTACTACTAACTACGGTTTTGCTATGAAACCAACAGATGGCTTCACAGTGGAGCCAACCTTCTATATACAATAAATAAACCTACCATATTCGTTGATTAATAAATAACACTAATATAACTTTATTAATATGATAGGTTTACTTGTTCTATATAGAAGGTTAGTTCCACTATGGAGCCAACTGTTGGCTTCGTATCAAAACCGCTACTAACTATGCACAATTGCTTTAATAAAGCTTGTCGCATGGTTTTAGTCTCGTGAATTCGGTTTGATAAAGACTAAAAGAATACGTTAGATGCGAAAGCAGTACAAAAATCGGATTTCTCACGTTACATCACACGTACACAGATACTCACAAAGATGTATGTTGATCCAATAAAGATAAATCATTTGCCCACACCTACGAGTACATGAGTCGAGCTCAAGCTCTCTCTAGCTCTCTCTGTTATAAGTAGGTTGAGCAAAACTGAAAAGAAATCGAAAAACCAAGCCGAACTGTGCAATTTTGTGCATTTCGGTTCGGCTTTTTTTAAGGTACAAAATTTTCAACTAGGTTTCGATTCAGTTTTTTTCCTATATTGCAGTAGGTTTTTTAAAAGTTCAATTTTCGGTTTCATTCGGTCGGTGTGATTTTACACCAAACCGCACTAAACTGAATAAAATTTATATAGAAATTGTGATATAACCGAAAACCGAGCCAAAGCATTTCGGTCTGGATATTCAACGAAAAAAATCGGTTCAATTTTTTATAAATTGCGTTGTGGTTAACCGCACTAAACTGAATAAAATTTATATAGAAATTCTGATATAACCGAAAACCGAGCCAAAGCATTTCGGTCCGGTTATTCAACGAAAAAAATCGGTTCAATTTTTTATAAATTGCGTTGTGGTTCTTTTTTTTTTTTGTAGGTTCGAAATTTCAATTTTCTGCTGTTCGATGCAATTTTTCACTGAACCACAACGTTGCAACCCCTAGTTATGGGGAGAGGACTTCCAAAAGCCAAATATAGCAAATTGATGGGACTTAAGAGTAATAATTCGAAGCCACCACATCTAAACAAAGTCCAATCGACAAGATAGGCAAAAGGAATTTGGCCCAGTTACTACTAATAGGCCTGTTGGAAAATAATGAGCCTACTAGAGTGGTCCAACCCATTATGATTTTTCATTGATTCATATTAGAAAATGTATAAACAGAAAAAAATGACATTTTTCGCTGTCATAACATGTCCAAAGTCGTCCACAAAACTATAACAAACATATTTATGAAACTGACATTTGTCTTAATTTATATTTGGATATTGAGTTGGATTGGGAACAAACTTGATGTAATTAACTAAAATAGTAACTACATCAAATCTCTACTGAAAGTTCAAACCTCTCATTGCCAAATGCCAAACACAATCTGATCCTTTTTCGTTAAATATTCATTTTAATAGATTATACATATTTTTCGGTTCATGGTAAAAAATAATCTGTCAGTCAGAGAATTAGTCCGTTGGCTCCGGATAACGGGTCTCACTAGAGTCTACAACAGATGAAGATGGTGATAATACCGATTTTCCCTTGACATCCTTTGATGCTTGCAGAAGGTGGAGCTTGTGTTGCAGCAACTGTGCAATTTTTTTGTGATTAAATTTGCATTAAAAACAGTTAAATACAAATAAAGGAACTTTAACTATTCCAAAAAAAAACTGTAAAAACGGCTTGCGTTTAATATTCGTGCACTCATTTGGACTTCTATGGTATGTATGCTTCATATTCACACAGGAAAAGCTGAAAGGCCGAAATGAATAGAACATTGGAGAATTGAGAGAAAAAAGGTACCAAATCGTAATAGAGGTGAAACAACTCGAGCTGGGGCCATGTTACACGTAGCTCATGATAGATGAATAAAACTCATTCAGGGAAATTAGAAGGAATTAATTACCTCAATCTGGTCCTGAATTAATTTAACTTGCAAATCTTGTTGAGAATCGGCACTCCCAGCCCACTGAGGTAACTGCACAAAAGTCATGTCCGAATACTGTTGTGAGACACCACCACTCACGACTCCACTCCCACCATCGTTTGCCGGTACGGTGTGGCTGGGATTTGCGAATGTTTGGGGAAGAAATGCATATCCAGGTGACCTACAAGCACCACTCAGATATATCAAAGCCATATTATCACATTTTTTTTTTAACTATTCTTTGAATTGCAACATGCATTGCCCGAGAGATACTCTAATTTATACTATAGGAGCTCTTTACTATGTACCAGACAAAATGTCACAATTCTCAACACAGACTGCCAATTTTTCAGAACCAATCTCGAGATTTCCGGGCCCATAAAATAGCAAAAACCAACAGATACATAAAATAAAAATAATAGTGGGACGTGAGCACTAAATCACCATGCTCAGTGGAAACCCACAACAATAATAATAACAATATCTAAAATTGATATTGCAACTGAAACTAAAATTGTAATGTAAACTGAAACTGTACTGCAACTGCAACTGAAACTATACTGAAACTGAAACTGTAAACTGAAATTAATATTGTAATCTGCAGGCAAATCTGGCCGGTAACCGTGTGCACACTCCAGTGGAATATTAAGGCAAATTGAGCCACCACCCGAACTTAGTATGGGCTTACGGCGAACTGGGGCCACCACTCTAAGCGGATACTGTAAATATACATACCTCGATCATGATGTAATTATATTCAATGTAATACCCAGTCTGGGTCCCCACCTGTATTGCTCGAACTGAAATGTAAGTGTTGGATGAAATGTAAGTGTTGGACTGGAAATGCTGACTGCGGGAAATTCACCGAACTCGGAAAATGGCACAAGGCCCCCTCTCGGCTACAGCCTCTCTTGGCCAAGGTGGATGACTTCATTATGCTCCTTACACTCCTAGAAACTCTATGGAATCAGGTTGGTGCAGGAGACCTCGGCTGGAAAAAGATGTAGCTCGGTGATGAATTCTCTCGGCTATCTCTCTATCTTAGCTAATGATGGAGTACAAAATGAACTTACGCTGAACTAAGTGGAGTAAAAACCCACTTCAAATCTGGTCCTAGGCTTTATATAGGAGAATGAGGTGTTAAGCAAGTAGGAGGTGGCATTTAAAAGAGACACTTGGCTTTAGGTAATGCCTTAGTGGCTTAAGCATGTAGCTTAGTCACAAGCTAGATGTCATGATCTCTTAACTCCACTAAAAACAAGAGCTTGTCTCTTAATAATAGTTTGGAACAAATAAATCTCACTAAGCACACTAAACTTGGTACTAATGCTTTAGGCTCGGTACTATCATCATGCGTGCATGGCGCAAGGCCTTAGGCATTGTGCTAGGAAATTGGTTCCACATTTGTACTTGATTAATACATATGCTACTACGTACTTAGAAAATTTCCAAGCATAACATAACTCGGCTAGGGTTTAACATAACTCGACCGAACTTTTTCGGTCCCGGTCGCGGCTTGACTTCGACGATTAATCTGAATATCTCAATTTCGAATAATATGTCGGCTCGAACTTATTAATCCCGAATTCATTTATTAAATAAACGAATCAGAATTAAATTCAAAAACTTATTCGGTTAACAGTTTACATTACAGTTTCAGTTGCAATATCAGTTTTAGATATTGTTATTATTATTGATGTGGGTTCCCACTGAGCATAGTGATTTAGTGCTTACGCCCCACTATTATTTTTTTATTTTTTTTTTCAGATACCAGGAAAGGAAGGCAGGCGTGAGATCAACTGTGGTGGTTGTGAGTTGTGGTCGTGGACTCGACTCAGTTTGTTGTTTTGTGGGATATTTACATACATCAGTTTGTATATATGTTTTAATACCACGTATGGTTCTTCCGCTTGCTTTATCAGTTTATAGTTATCGAACTTGCATGTCAGTATATCAGTTTAACTCAGTCTTTAGCAGGACGTGCGTCCAATAGCACATGCATGTTTGATAGTCTGTATTTCTTTATGTCTAACCTAGTTTGTTAGACCCAATTTAAAGAAAACAGACTTATAGGAACTTCCAGGATAGATAAGTTTTTAGTAGTATCCTGAGTTTTGATTTCGCAAATTTATAAATATATTTAGAACAATTTTGCGAAAATTTTACTCTGATGCTAGTAAGATAGCGGGGTGTTACCGCCAGGGCACTAGCAGGCCCTGCGCGAAACCAAGCCCGGCTAGCCCAATTCAGCGGCCGTGGTCCGGCCAGTCAGCAAACCATCCGGTCTAGACCGGTTATTCGAGTAATTCAGTATTTATTGTTCCGGTTCGAGTTTATTTCGGAATTTCAGTTAAGTTCTGAGCCGTATCAGTTTATTTTAGCAGTGTTAGTTCCAGTCCGGATTTAATATCAATTAAAATGGAACTTTAGACTGTTCTAGCTAATCCGGATAGTTAACAGTTAAAGTAGGGCGTCTTAGCAATTATTTAAATATATCTGAGCATAGCACTTAGTATTAGTTTATTTATATATTTTTACAGTTTGAGCAGTCAGCAGCAGACCAATCCGCACTTACATTTCAGTTCGAGCAGTACAGGTGGGGACCCAGACTGGGTATTACATTGAGTATAATTATAGATATCATGTTCGAGGTATGTATTTACAGTATTCGCTTAGGGTGGTGGCCAATTGGCCTTAATATTCCATCCTAAGTTCTGGTGGTGATCTTAGTTTGCCTTAATATTCCACTAGAGTTTGCACATGGTTATCGGCCCAGATTTGGCAGGAGATTTCAGTACAGTTTCAGTATAGTTTCAGTTTCAGTACAGTTTCAGTTGCAGATTACAGTACAGTTTCAGTTTCAGTTACAATATCAGTTTCAGATATTGTTATTGTTGTGGGTTCCCACTGAGCATGGTGATTTAGTGCTCACGCCCCACATTTTTTTTCTTTTTCAGATAACAAGGCAGGCAGCCAGATCAGTTGCAGTGGTTGTGGTGGTCGTGGACTCGGCATAGTTCGCCAATCTCGTGGGATATTTTATATACAACAGTCTGTTTAATTATATTCATCGAGTTTAGCTACTTCCGCTTGCAATTCAGTTTATAGTTATCAAATTTGCATGTTAGTATTTCAGAATAGCAGATAGGTCCAGTAGCACATGCATGTTTGATATTCTATTTTCTTTATGTCTAACCTAGTTTGTTCCAGTTTAAAAAAAGCAGATCTCCAGTTTAGATAGGTTATTTTTCAGTAGCATCCCGAGTTTAGAATTCGTAAGCTGTTGAGTAATTTATATTTTTTTTTAAGTTTTGCGAAAATTTTACTCTGATACTAGTAAGATAGCAGCGGGCTGTTACATTATCAAACTTTAAGAATGTAATAATGAAATGAGTGCATACCATGTCAGGGTATTCGAGGAAGGATAAACAAAAGACTTCTCGTAAATCGAGGCTGCGGCAGCAGCAGCTTGTAGCCTCGCCTGATGCTGACTGACGTTATCATTACCCGCCCTAACACCAGAAGCTCCATGTGAAGACGTGCCAAGGGAGCTGTTACTTCCTGGGCCCACCAAATAATGCTAATCAAATGATTTTTACACGCATGATATAATGAGGTTGCTCGGCAAAATTCACGAATAAGGCAAACCTTTGAAACCCAAGATTCCAGATTTACAAAATTGACTCGTTTTCATATGGCCTTACAGGAGATAGTGCAAATATTGACATACCTTGCTGTTGAACATCGGCTCTTACTCCACTAGTTGAAGTCCCATTCTCAGGTGGTACCACGAGGGCTCTGCACGTGGGACATGTGTTTTGCCTTTCCAGCCAAGACCTCAGACAGTGCACGTGAAAAAGATGTCCACAGTTAAGTTTTTTAGCAGTAACCATCTCCTCGCGACAGATAATACAGGTTGCATCGTTCCTGGATGAGAAAAGATTAATTAAAAAGAAGAAAAACAAATGAGATTATGATAGTCAACATTAGGAATTAAAACTTTTAACTACATTTTTCCATTGGGCAAAAAAAGGTGCTTACGTATTAAGCTCCTCCGGGGTTGCATCCAGAAAACGATCATTCATATTCGAAGTGATCTTGCGGTAACGTATGTAATCAGCCACACGGATTTTGAAGTTACGGAAAGTCTCGTATAACTCCCGGATCAAGTGAAGAGGCACACCATAGTTCCTGAGGAGATAAAGTAGCTCTATATGATAACCCCACAGTAATAAATTCTTAGGAAGTGAGTATGGATTTAGGAACTTTTTATTAATTTTTGTTTGTGGGAGAAATATTGTGGAAGTTGTTAGATAGCATGAAAAATACATACACTAGATCTCATAGTAACAGTTCCGATAGTAGAATGATACCAGAATCTGTTTGCTCGGCAGTTCAATGAACTATACTTGGGAATATCAACTAGAGTATCCAAGATTAGTTTACATTAAATGCTAAACCAGTTTAACATTACAAAATCCAGTTGAAAAAAGAAAAAAATGAAAAACAACATCCAAAGAAAATCATCTGCAAGTTTCCTAAGAAAGAGATGCAGTTATAGAAGCTCATTTTTTCTTCTTTATAATCAAAACATCATAATTCATACCCTGTGCATGCGAAAGATTAATCTGACAGATTACTTACACAAATATGACAAGGAAGAAACACATATACATAGTCAAGTGGAGCAAGTCCCGGATAAGCTCCAAGTAAAAGGTGTAAACAGCCTTCTTTTCCCATTGTCCTTCCATAATCATGTCACTCACGTAGAATACATACTTCACAATTGTTGATACAGTCGTTGTGGCCAATATCATGTATCTGGAAAAAAAAAAAAAGGTGTTTATTATTTTCCTTTATCAATCTCGAATTAAAGGGCATAAAGAAAACACTCAAATGACAAAACAGGCAGAATTAAGCAATCAGTTCAGAGGAACATACTCGAACGCAAAGAAGAGCGAAACTGAAGCCTGCCTGGTTTCTATCAAGTACTTAACCGCTCTGTACAGAAAACTACAGTCGACAAGGAGAAGGAATCCCATGAAAGACACGATCCGGACGTGAGATAGCTTAGGAACAGAAGGCGTCGTCTCGATGTATTCGACCCTCTTTTGGGCCAACCAATGAAGTGCCTTGATCAGAAGTAAAGCGGTAACCATAGCTATAAACGAGACTGAGAAATCTTGTCTGAAGATGGTGATCGCAAATAATATTTCCATGACTTCACGCCACGACTGCTCGTTCAGCCGCTCGACTTCCGCTTCCCGAAGGGGCCCGAGGAAGATTTTCTTTGTCAGTTGCCACAAGACACACATAAAAACCAGGCCCATATTCAAGAGGAACAGCAAGCTGATTTTCGAAGTCGATAAATAAACCATGGCCGGGTAAAACTGGCCTCTACTGCTAAAAGCGTGATAGATAACAGCCAACGTAGCTAATAGGCTAAAGCCCGCGTAAGTTTGAAGCCTCATCATTGCAAAAAAAATTCTCTGTCGTGCGAACGTGGGCGATGAGTTCTGGATAAATATCCAATCAGAACAGAATAAACACGATTTCATAAGTTCAATTTTCTACTACATTACTACCAGCACTTCAAGGGTGCATAATCAAGCTGCACAGATTTCAACCGACTTACAGGATGTAATTTATTAGAAAATAAAAAAATGCACTTCTACACAGAAATGTATAGCAAATTCAACACTGGCACCAGCCAGAAGAAAACCATCACCTGGACACAATCGCTTGCCAATAGAAACAACACATAGTTAACTCCATTGAACACACTTAATAACATCAAACTGACAAGTACAACAAGTTAATTCCAAAATATCATTCCTTTTTTTTTCGAAAACATTCATCCGCGTCCGTGATCGATCCAACTACTTCACGATTAGCAAAATCAGAACAAGGGGTATGTAAAATAACGAAAAACCTAAAATACCTGATTTGGGAGGAAAAAAAAAAGACAAATAAAAAATGCCCAATAATGTATATAAAGAAGAAAGCAAAACCAAATTGAAGAAAAATAATAAGAGGAAAAAGAATGGATACCAGGAAGCTTGCCGGCGGTGGATCGGAATTATAGTCGCGGCACGGCGGAGTTGAAAGGCCGATCGCTTTGGCAGGGTTATTTGGAGAAAACCAGTCTACCTACAAAAAGTGATAACTATTAGAATAAAGTAGATGAAAATAGCAAGATAAGATAATATACAGCTAGTACAATATTGAAAATTGTTTTAATTTTATATTATTTGAGTCTTTCTTCCAATAGCTATTGTTATTTTTATTATTTTTTTTTATTTTATAAAGTGTGTTTCTATTATTATTTGTATTGTTTTATAATTATTAGTATTGTTTTATTATTAATAGAGTCCATGGGGTATGAAATATCCTCGATTTTTGTTACATCGGCCGACATAATAATTTTTATTAAATCAATATACTATTATAAAAGATATTGTAGTACTTTTAAAAATAATAAATAAATGACATATGACAAAATATGTATATTTTTCTTTTATATTTAAAGAGTATTAAAAATCCACCAATCTAAGGATTCAAGCTATAACCCATACAAGTATTTATGTCCTCGTAAATACGGGTGAGTAAAACTGAGCCGAAACTGAAAACCGATCGGAAACAGAGCAATTCGGTGCAGTTCGGTTCAGTTTTTTTTTTTTTTTAT